GTGGTGCTTTGGCTCAAGTGGTAGAGAACTAGCCTTGAGCAAAAGCTCAGGGACAGTGCCCAAGCCCTGAGTTCAAGCCTCAGGACAAGCAAAAATTTTTTAAAAGATACAAATAAAAACTTGATTCTCTAATGACTAAAGTGTATGAACTTGATTCTTTGTGATACTATCAGACCCCTTTCTTAATTTTTTTTTTTTTTTTTGGCTGGTCATGGGGCTTGAACTCTGGGCTTGGACACTGTCCCTGTGCTCTTCAGCTCAAGGCGAGCACTCCACCGCTTGAGCCACAGCACCACTTCTGGTTTTCTAGTGGTTTATTGGAGATAAGAGTCTCATGGACTTTCCTACCTGTGCTGGCTTTGAACCGCCATCCTCAGATCTCAGCCTCTTGAGTAGCTAGGATTACAGGCGTGAGCCACCGGTGCCCAGCTCATACTCCTTTATTTCTGTATCTGCCTTTTTTAGTTGGGTGCTGATGGCTCATACCTGCAATTCTAGCCACTTAGACGTTGAATTCTGAGGATCAGTATTTGAAGCTAGCCTAAGCAGAGAAGTCCATGAGACTCATATGTCCAGTTTACACAGGAAAAATCAAAAGTAGAGATTTGGTTCAAGCGGATAGAGGGCTAGCCCTGAATGAAAAAGTCTGAGAGACTCTTGAGTTCAAGCTCAGGCATACAAAAAATGTTTGTAGATCAAAATATAGTTTCATCTTTTCAAAACTTAGCTTTTTTTTGGGGGGGGAGGGTGGGTGGGAAATGGGAGGGGATGGGAAGGGGAAACAAAGGAGGAAGAAACAATGCTTGATAAGAAATGTACTCATGGGGCTGGGAAGGTGGCTCAGTGGTAGAGCACTTGCCTTGCATGCCTGAGGCCCTGGTTCGATTCCTCAGCACCACATAAGCAAAAAGAAAAAAGTCGGAAGTGGAGCTGTGGCTCAAGTGGTAGAGCGCTAGCCTTGAGCTGAAGAGCTGAGGGACAGCACCCAGGCCCAGAGTTCAGGCCCCACGACCGGACCCCTCCCCCCAAAAAAAAAAAAGAAAAAAAAATGTACTCATTACTTTGCCCATGTAATTGTAACCCCTCTGTATGGTATTTTCACAATTAAAAAAACAAACAGCATTTTGACTGGTAGTTCATCCCTTCCCTGTAAGGGATGGCTTTGTGAAATTTAGTATCCTGTTGTCCAGAGTGTAGCTATGAGAAGGGTCCCAGCATAGAAGTACCTTTCAAATTAACATTTACCTCTGTTAAATGTCTGTTGGGCCTTATAGTCTTACATGTCTTTATGCTTCTATTATGGATTTATATGCACAGAACAGTATGCCTTTGTGCTGTTAAAAGTGCTGTTGTGAAAATTATGTGATTATTAAGTTACCACCAAATGCTATATAGAGGAAGTGACCTGGAAGAGGAAAAGCTATTTGGTAGGTTTCTTCTTTTTTTTCCTTCCTCCTCTCCCCACCTTCTCCTCCCCCCACTTCCTCCTCCTCCTCCTTCCTTTTTTTTTTGCACATTCCTTATGCCAAGCACTGTTGTAGCTATTAGGTTATAGCTATGAACATGTCTATAATCCTCACTGCTGAGGAAGCCGAAGTAGGGCAGAAAAGCCAATGATCATTCCAACTTCGAAACATCTAGTCTAGAATCATGGCTCAAATGGTTGAGTACTGCCAAGAGCTGGTGGCTCATACCTATAATCCTAGCTACTCAGGAGACTGAGATCTGAGAATTGTGGTTCCAAGCCACCCTAGGCAGCAAAGTCCATGAGACTTAATCTCCAATTAACCACCAGAAAACTGAAAGTGGCATTGTGGCTCAAAGTGGTAGGGCGCTAGCCTTGAGCAAGAGAGCTCAGGACAGTGCCCAAGCCCTGAGGTCAAGACCCACAACTCACACACACACACACACACACACACACACACACACACACAAGGTAGAATGCCAGCAGAGCAAGCAAAGGCCCTGAGTTCAAGCCCTAGGAAGGTTTGCAGAATTTTTTTGTTTTTGTATGTCAGTTTCCTGAGTAGCTAGGATTGCAGGCATGAGCTACTAATACCTGGCTTGGTGCAAGGCCTTGTGCATTTAAGCATATGGCTACCACTGAGAGATACTCTTCAGCTCAAGGCTAGCACTCTGTCACTTGAGCCACAGTGCCACTTCTCATTTTCTGGTGGTTTATTGGAGATAAGAGTCTCACGGGCTTTCCTGCCTGGGCTGGATTTGAACCTTGATCCTCAGATCTCAAATGCCTGGGTAGTTAGGATTACAGGCTTGAGCTACTGGTGCCGGCAGCTTTTCTCTTTAAAATGGCATTTTTATTAAAATAATTTCTAATTGAAGTGTTTATCAAGTTTTTTTGTTTGTTTTTTTATTGTCACAGGGCTTGAACTCTGGGCTTGGGCACTGTCCCTCAGCTCTTTAGCTAAAGGCTAGAACCCTACCACTTGAGCCACAGCTCCACTTCCAGCTTTTTCTGCTTATGTGGTGCTGAGGAATC